GGGTTTATTATATTATATTATATTATAATTAATTAAACAAAAAAAAAAACCTGATTTTTGAATTTTCAAACTATAAATATGATTTTTGAATTGGTGTAAACTAAACACCTTATTTATGAATTTTTCCCTAATTTTAATTTTAAAACCCAAATCATTTTTAAAGCCCATTAGCCTATTTTAATTTGAAGCAAATGAATATACTTTATGTAGTGTTACTGTAATATTAATATCTAATTTTTCGTATTTGTATCAATTGAATTAATCTTATTAGACGGCTAGTTATTTATATATTTTTGAATTGGGCTACGTTAATTTGTAAAAGTTACGAATGAAATGTCATTAGTTGTATTTATGTAGTGTTGCTGTAAATATTAAAAATTTAATTATGGTACGGATCCGAACGGAACCGAACCGAACCCAAACGATTCCATAATTATATTTGGACCTGACGGTTCCATTTATTAAATACCCGAAAGGTTAGGGTCGGTTCGGGTCTCTTTAGAACCGGACCGACCTACGAACAGCCATAGGAAGAATTGAGAAAATTAGGGTTAATAATTATTACGTTTAATAATATTATTATATTAATTAAAATATAAAATTATTACCTGATTTTTGAATAATTAAACTTTAAACCTAATTTTTGAAAATCATTCTTTAAACATCTGATTTTTTGTAATTTCCTCGTGGGAGAATTTCATAAGTAAGGGATTAAGTATCATCCATTTCAAAATTAAGAATAGATGTTTTAAATTTAGAAAATATGATTTTTATTAAAAGTTATTTATGATTTAATTAATTAATTAAATATATTAATGTCACATATTTATATAATTTGGTCACAAATTAACCATTCAATTAGTCATATATTATTTTTCGACCACAAATAAAAAAAATTTATGTGTCAAATTATTTTACGCTCACAATTCAAAATTTTTATATATCTCAATTTGTTTATTTGTCACAAATCAAAAATTTATGTATTAATTTATTTATCGGTCACAAATCACAAATATTATAAATCACAACTTATCATATAGTCACAATTTTTTCAATCAGAAATTTTATCACAAATTATCTTACGGTCATGATTCACAAATTTTATAAGTTACAATTTGTTCATCGATCACAAATAAAAAAATTATATGTCACAATTTATCTATCGATTACAAATCACAAATATTATAAGTCAACTTATAAGACAGTCACAAATTAACAATTTTTTAGGTTACATATTATTTCTTGACCACAATTTATCTTTTTCATTGCTTACATATTATTTACTAATCACGAATTAACTAATTTAATGGTCACAATCAACCAAATAATTTGTGACCACGAGGACCACAAGCTCACCACTCTCTCTATCAACATCACCGTAGTGTCACCACCAGAACCACCACCACCTCTCAACAGCAATATCATCTTAAAAAAATCAACACATCGCGGAAAAAACCACCATATCTTCGTACCAGATCCGTCACCACCTCGCCACCACCACCTTCGACCACCACCACCACCAACTTACCAGCACCACAGCTAACATTATCAGTCACCACCACCACCAAAAAATAAGATCTAAAATTATCAGTCGTCACACGACATTGCACCCAACAATCGCACACCACCACCGCAGCACCATGCCCAATCATCGTACCACTGCCACGACCACCGCCATCACCACAGAGGTCGTTTTTCAAACCGCCGCCACCACCAACTGCAAACACAACAAAACTCACCTAAAAAACTCTGGCACCAGTTTGTGCCCAAAATTTCCCCAGATCCCATTATTTAGCGGGGGCATCATCACCAACAAAGATCACCACCGTCTGGTACTGTAGTGCAAACTATGCTACTTCAATAGTAAACGATCAAGAATAGTTTCTTTAAGATAATATTCACAAAATCTGCCAATCTGCAGCACACGAGAACAAATACCCAAAAGTCGCTGCGCACGGTGAGAACAAAGACAACCATCGTCGAATCCGCCAATTTGCATGCGACTTCGAGCGTCGTCGCTTTGAAGCCATATGCCGCTGCAGCAGCAATTGGCAAGAGCGTTATCACTTTGAATCGGCAACGCTCCGCCTATTGCTTCAGAGTGACGCCGTCATGGGCACAACTTCGATCGTATGCTCCGGCTCCGGTATGGAGGATAGAAGAGGTAGTAAAGAGATAGTATAAACGTTTAGAGAGAGAGAAGAAAAGGAGGAATAATTAGGGTTTGTAAGTGAAATTGGGTAGGGTAAATATGTAAAATAATTTATTTATATTAATAATATAATTAATATTTAAAATTTAAATTATCATCTGATTTTTTTTAAAAAAATATTATATCTTAATTTTGAATTTGATAATTTAAAACTAGGACTCTGGGTAATTTCTTCTTGGAGGATTAAGCAACAGGACAACAATCGGTATTGAAATTGTGATTCTCGAACTTCTCTCTCTCTATTTTTTTTTTTTTTTGTTTTTTTTTTCTATTTTTTTTNAAATAACTAACAACTAAGCCAACAATTCATTAAACAGTGAAAAGTTCCCGACTTCATTTTTTTTTTTTTTTTGAGCAAACATAATGACAGTAATTAAGGATAATTATTAATTAGCATGCAACATCCCATCATTTCCTTTCATTATGGTGGAAAACGTTGTTACTTTTTATTTTTTGACATTTTCATCTTTTATTGAGCAAAATGTCATTTTCATTCATTTTCTCAATTAAAAGCTGTGAAATGATGAATATACTTTAGTCCCAATTTTTTTCAAAAAGTGAAAATGAGTCGTAAATAAATTATTTAAAAGGTAATTAGTTCATAATGTTCATACATTTCACTATTATTGTGAAAAATGTCAACACATTTCATTTTTTTAACATTTTCACCCTTAATTACACATTTAATTGTGCAAACCATTATTTCTATCCATTTTATTATAATAAAAAAAAACCATGAAATGATGAACATACCATTTTATTTAAATAAAATTAATTGCAATCATAGTGCCAAAATTTTTAAAAAGTACAGACGAGTCACAAATAAATTATTGAAAAATCAGAAATTAAAAAAATCTTTAATTTTTTTAAATAAAAGGGTATATTCGTTATTTCAGAGTTTTGTTGAGAAATTGGATAGAATTGATGGTTTACGCAATTAAATATGTAATTAACGATAAAAATGCCAAGAATAAAATGTATGAACTTTTTACACAATAAGATGGAAATAAAGGTGAAAATACTAAAAAGAATTGAAAAGAAATAATGTTTTCCACAATAATAATGATATGTAAAACGTCATGTGCTAATTACCCCATAAATTAACTACTTTCTACTACTGATATGTACCTCTAGGTTGCTGTCTATTGTTTTGGTTTTTAGTGTTGGTGGTATTGGATGTTTGATAAGAATTGAAATCTGTCCAATTTTTGTTGTTCACCAATTAATTGCTGACACATCATTTCACATTAAAATGTTACCTATTTTTTATCACAAGGAACAATGACAGGAAAGTTAGACATGACGTGCTAATAATTAATTAGGTGGATAACATATTGGACAGCAAATTTCAACTTGTTTGATAAAGGCTAAAAAGGGTTGGTTAGTGGTGGTTGGTTTAAAAGGCTACCGTGAAATGCTGCATGTGGTGAACCAAAATTCGGTAAAAGGAAGAAAGCTCTTGCTCTGATACCAAAGTGATGCCGATTGCAACAAACCAGAACAATAAAGAAGAAGAAATTAGGAAGAGAGAAGAGAAAGGAAGGAGGTAGAAAGAGATGGGGAATTAGACGAACGGAAGGGAAAGAAGAAGAGAGACTTTGGGAAGAAAATATCAATCTTTATTTCATATCTTTCTTCTAATTACATTGCATAATATCCCGTCTTATGGGGTTTCGAAAGACCCTAATAACGAAATAACATAAAATCAACCTTCGTCACGTTTCCTAAAATACACTTTAAAATCGGAAACAAATATACTAATATCAATTATAATATTCCGTGACTAATGGACAATGAACAAATAATAAGAAAAGAAAAAAAGTAGAAGAAACTTCAAACAAAAATTAGGGATCTCAATTTAATAACTCAAAAGAACTTGTGAATGTGTAGAAGTTCATCAATGGTTGGTGGAGACGAGACAAAGTGTCATTTACTTAAGTGTACCATTTAGATTAGTTTCGCAAGATGAATATTCGTAAAAAGCTGTGAAATAAACGGAACAGATGCAGAAAATACAGACATTGTTTGCTGCAGTACATTAGAAGAAATTTCGATTGAACTCTACTATGAATATTGCAGTCAATTTTAAGCTAAATCAATCCACTAAGCTGTCGACAATCCACGATACAAGCTTGTCGAGCCACAGGTTTCTGCTGCAAACTTTCTAGATGTACTGGGAGTCGTACAATTTATGAGCACCAAAAACAATTCATGCGCTGCAAATCTACAGAAAGAAAAAAGGATTGAGATTATACTGTTTCCAGCACACGTTAGTTCAAAATTTGTGTGTGAATATATACATAATGTAGTGTTATAGGTTTAGGTAGGCTGATAAATGCACAAAAAAAAGGTAATAAATCAACAAAAAGTGTGACAAATTGGTACCTAATGAAGTTTGTAGCAACAATATTCACTCAGCTTTTGGTCTGATCTCAATCCCTTGAATGATGACACCATTCTTCCAGTTTCCACCCTTTGTCTCTGTCAAACTTATTTCCATATCCAAATCTTGTTCTCCATCCACGAAAAACTCTCCCAACTCAACTTCCATCCATTTATCTGCTCTAACCTTGGGGTAATCGGTAATGCGCTCTGTGGACAAATCACCTTGCCGTCCATATATATGAGCCAACCGCCTAGCATTTCTTCCTCTGGATCTAAACTGGTGCCTATGCCTTTGTTCTCCCTCTGGATCCAAACACATTGTTCGTTTTACACCATCCCGCCCACTAATTCGTACTGTAGCCTCAGCAGGTTGATACTCAAAACCATATATTCCTGATTTTGAAGTGAACACAATGTAAGCTGCATATGTAGTTCCTGAAGACAGCATGCTAGTATTAATCTTGCCACGAATTTCAAACCAACACACATCAAGAAGCTCTGCCACCTCAGGAAATCTGAAACAAACGTGAAATGAACCATCAGCATTCGAAATAATTAATAGAAGGAAAAGATACTTGTTCTTATGCTAGGTAACTGTAAAACCTGGACTCTGGATAAGGGATCCATTGCCAATATGCAGGTGTATCACCCCACACAATGGAGAGGTCCCTTGCAGCCAGCATAAAGCACTTCTTTCCTGTCCCTTTCTCCAATGAAAAGCTCTGCAATAACGGAGAAGCATTAGGATGCATCCCCAACACGAATAAATGATCAAAATGTAAAGAGAGACCATCACAAGTGACAACTATAAACAGACCTTCAGTCAATTTGTACCTAGGTTGAGCACTGGGCATTGAGGCATAAAATTATTGAACTTTGGACATTTAGAGGGACAAAATTATTCAATGTTGTAAAACATAAATTGAGGTTTATGCCAGTGATCTCGGAATTATAACCATAGAACAATTGCAATAGTAAGAACAACACTAAAATTTATTATTTTAAGAAATAAGAACCAAAAAGTTTAACCTTATACGTATTCATGTCAATTATAATGTAAATTTCAAATTTATTTTTCAAATTTTCTTGAACAGGTTAGACGATAATGAGCAATCTACAACCACCTCACCTTTTGTAGAAAAAAAGTTTATAATTTACCTAATTTTCAATTGCAAAAAATAATCCGAATAATACTTTTTAAGGTAGATTCCCAACAATTAACCAGGTAAAGCAGCTTAATTAATATTTACGCAAAATTCACGAAAATTAATATCATTAGAATTTACATTATTACCTTAATGCCACCGTCGATGATGATTGGATTATCACAGAGGTGGAAATAAAGCTCTTTCTTGGATCGAAGGTTTGCAAGAACCGAATCATCGCTGTCAATTGAACGTGAAATGATGTCACGATAATCAGGCGGCAAAAACCGCTCCCAAACGGCATCGGATTCCGCCGCCGACCGGAACATCAGAGTCACCAAAGACAGTCGGCAGGCATCCTTGGGGCTCGTCAGCGACAGCGCGGTGGCTATACAACCCTCCGGCAGCGCTTGGAAATCATTGTAGCTCTCAACAGACATCGTGTTTCTCTCTATATCTCTCCAACTTCTCTCTATATTTATTTGATTGGATGTGTGTCGATGGTAGAGGGATATTTATTTCTTATTTATAGACTCACCGTTGGTTAAAAAGGTCCTTTTTTTCTGTCTTGTTCAAATCTTAAATGTCATTTCTTAATTATAGGCTGAAAGTCTATTTAGTTCTCAGCTGACTCTATATTATGTTCGACTAAAAGGATAAAATTGTCTAAATAAAATAACGTTTATCATTTGATTTTGGAAAAAAAAAATTATTTTTGGAGAAAATCCATAGTTTCGACCAGGCACGTGCTCGTCATTTGGATACGAGTGCCTCCAATAAAAAATTGAAAATACGATTGTTACACTTTAAAGAAATATATTTAATTAATTTAAATTTAAATATACAATATTAAGATTTAATTGACAAAGTTTTTAAAAAGTCAAAAATTACTTCTGAAATTTAAAAAATTGATTTTAAATATGTTTCATTAATTTTTTAAATTTGCTACGAGAAATATGACATAAACTAATTTCTTCATAAAGTTTTTTTTTTTGTTTTTAACGTAAAATAGAAATCCTACCAGACAAGTGCTCGACTTAGGGCGTGTTCGATAGAGATTAAAATTAAAAAATTAGTAGTTATTATTGATTTTTATTAGACGAGTGGGAATTCAATAATGACTATATTTTCAATTTTAATTGAATTTTAACATTCACCAAACGAGCACATATTAGCCCCTGTTTGGCCCCCATTATTGTAGATTTTTAGGGGGTTGAAAATTTTTAGAATAGTGATTGATGGGAGATGTGTGGTTGAAAAATTTTAGATTTGTGTGTATTGTTATTTTATTTGATAAATATATGGTTAAATGAAGAGAGAGAAAAATTTAATATAATGTAATGAAATATAATGGGGGGCAAACAAGGGCTAAGATTACTTAGTGTAGTGGCATTGACATTGGTATTGTCATTATCTAAAGTTGAAATCTTAGCCATGAAGTTTTATGCCGGTTGGAATTAGGCAATAAAATATATTCTATTCTTTATCTTATTTCTCTTTTTGAGAACAAATCTTTATCTTTTTGGAACTAGCCGTTTTTTTGGCCATAAATAGAAGGGAATTGTATATTGACTTTTGTCTCTCTCTCTCTCTCAATTCAATTTTCTTGCATACTTCCAACGCAAGGAACAAATAGATATTACGAAATTAATCATTATTTAAAGAATCTTAAATACTTTTAAATATTTAATCGTCATTTGATGCACATTCTTTTTAAAATATATTTTTTTCTCTCTTTTTTTTAATCACACATTCTTCAATAAAATAATATTATAACAAATTCAAATTTTATTTTTTATTTTTTATTTTTTATCCACATATTTTCCATCAATCAGTATTTCAAAATGTATTTTTTTGCCAAAAAAAAGAAAAGGAGTAATGTTATTCATCCTCACTGAGGATGAAAATACAGTTTACGTGGCGTAAATGTGGTATTAAATAATAGGTGATATTAAATAAGTCATTTAATTTCACATTTCATTTAACTTATCATTTAAAGCCACCTAAACTGTGTTTTCATCCCCACTGAAAATGAATAATATTACTAAAAAAAGAGCATCAAACAATGTTTTATAAGCAAGAATTGAAGACTAATTCCGTAATGATCGTATGCGAACAAAAAAGTAAGTTAAAGAAAGTAAAGGAATTATTTATTTCCAAATTTTATGAATTGAAAACTTAGTAGCTAAGGTTTTACTTTATTTTTTTATTATGTTTTTTCTTTATAGAAAAAAAGTACGTATTATAGGAAAAAATAATAAAGAGACCATACCATGCCTTTTTGTGTGGAGTAAGAAAAAAGATACTCTACATGTTTACACGTCATCCACGTGGAGATAATCCATAGTCAATTGGGTCTTCTAATTTCATATTAAGGAGTTGTTTCACAAGATGGGTAAGTAGAGTTTACAATTGATTTGGATCCCAGCGCGACACCAATTTCTGTGGTCCCCTACAAAATGAAACCAAAAGAACTTCAAGAATTGAAGTTACAATTGGAGGAGTTGCTGAAAAAAGGTTTCATTCGACCAAGTGTATCTCTTTAGAGCGCTCCAGTACTCATTGGGAAGAAGAATGACGGGAGTATGAGGATGTGCATTGGCTATCGAGAATTGAATCATCCGACTATCAAAAATAGATACCCACTACCAAGAATAAAATTTCATCAACATGAAAGAAAAATAATTTAAACGGGATAAATCAACTGCATCTCGTTTCCTACCTTGTTAGATTAAATTCTAGAAAAATGAAATTTTCAATATCACGTTCCAAATATTTTTTTTCCTGCCTGTGCTGTGTTTACTGTGCATGAATAGCCCCTGTTTGACACCCATTTTTTCATTCTCATTTTTTTCTCTTTCTTCATTTTAACCACACATTCTATCAATAAAATAATACTACACATAAATCTAAAAATTCTCATTATTTTTTAACCACACATTATTTTTTTTGTGTGTGTTGTCCATTGTACATGTATCTATATACACCACCAAATATTAACATGATCTTCAAGAGTTGGCACGTAGTGAGAAACATGTGGGATATGATAGTTGGATAAAGGTGGGGGAAACAAAATATCAAACAAAAGTCTTGTCAATCAACACATTTTCATACACATGGCAGTACTTACATTGAAAGGAGATTAGTTCTACCCACTAGTCATGTGGCCTCCCATAAATCTCCACCTCTTTTTTTTTTTTATTTTGAATAAAAATTTACTTACTCAATTAATATCCTATCCAAAAGTTGCTACGTGTCATTCCTAAAATATTTAAATTCATTAAATAACATAAAAAAATATAACTTAGGACAATATCTTTCGACATCAATAACTTGAATTCTGCTAATACAAATTAACTTTTTATCGAGCCTAAAATGCATAATTAATTATGAACTATCCAACGAGCCCAAAGTTCATATACACATTGCTCCGTCAATATTCAAATATTTGACACAATTAAAATGAAAATTTCCACTTTAGTCCCTAACTCCAAAATATTAAAATATAGTATATAAAATAAATAATTCTATTTTATATAGTCACTTTATTTCAAAGTTTAATAGTATCTTACATTTTTTTTACATAATTATATGTTTATTTGATTATTTTGTTTCCTTAGGCAATGTTAGCAGAGAACTTATTCACCAATTGACAACATTAACATCATATCTTAACATATGAAAGACTCACAGTACGAAAAAGTTTACACTTCAAGACTATATACATTATACACACAAAACCCCACCAAAGTTCTCATTCGAAAGGCCAATTATCCATTGACTATGGTTCCACCATTGGGATGGAGGACCTGGCCAGTCATATTAGAGGAGTCCACATTTGAAGCAAGAAACACATAAGACGGAGCAACCTCTATTGGCTGCCCGGCTCTCTGCATTGGCACTTGTTTTCCAAAATTAGCTCTCTTCTTCACTGAATGAAGCTGGAATTAGAGGCGTCCAAATTGGATCAGGTGCCACCCCATTTACGCGTATTCCCTTGTCCAGTAGAGTAACATCGCATTTCCTTTGTATGCATTCTGATGCTGTGTTGATTATGGAACTTCCTTCCTTCATATGTTTCAAAGCACGCCTGCGACGCGACCACACAATTAGGGCGTGTTCGATAGATATTAAAATCGGATTAAAATTGAAAAACTAGCCGTTATTGTTGACTTTTATTAGATGAGTGAGACCCAATAACTGCTATATTTTCAATTTTTATTGAATTTTAAACTTTACCAAACGAGCTTTTAATCGTGTTCAGTACAGTATTACACTGAACTAGACAATTTATATGTTCAATAACTTATCTGACCATAAAGAAGTAATAAAAACATTGGTTCTACAAACTCTCAGAAGCCTCGACTCATCGATTTGTTTGACTGATTTCGCCTCATATTGCTCAGCAGCATTGTTTACTAGAATATTGTGGGCTTATTGGGCCTATTTTGGTGGTTCTCTTTAACACCTTGTTGGGCCGGGTTTATTACCCATTCTTATTGTTGCTTAAGTGACAATCACTTATTGGTAGCATTAAGGAAACTTGGATCATGTGCTTGTTGATGATTACTTTTGGCCCTTAGATTTAATCAATGGTTGGGATTTATCCTAGACTAAATATTTTACTTGGGCTTGGCATTTGTGAGACTCTCTCTCTCTCTCCACTTCTCTTCAGTGGCACAACTTTACTCTCCTTCCTTCTTGGTGACTGGCCCTTTCCTCTCCATAGACTCCATTCTTCTTCTTCCTAGTTAGTGCCCCAAAATTGACCTTGGTTAGCCCATTGGTGGAGATATACCTATGTATTCTTAGGTCTGAAATAGAGGCTAAGTGTTGGTTCGTTCTCAAGGGCTTAGGTCAGATTTTAGGGGCTGATTTTGGCTGCTACGGTAGATCGTTTGGATCGATGCTAGTCAAAATGTTGGAGATCTTAGTTGGTTCTTACCTCTCTCTGAACGGCGATTGCATGGCATGAGAGGCTGTTCCTGAGCCTAAGCTCTTCGACCAACAAGAAGGGAAGAAGAACACTGGAGGTCTTGGACAGTAAAAAGGGAAGTTCTTGTCCAGCTTTAAGTTTTTGTTTTCTGGTCCTTTTATGTTTGTAATTGGAAATTACATTCTCCTGGGATTGAATATCATTGTTTATTGGAGCATGTTATGAACTTCTGACATTGGTTCATGAGAGCTAGAACTATATTATTGATGTGCATTGTATCTGCAATAGTCGATGTTTAATTCCCAACAAATATCAATTCTGCCATACTTATTCACCAATTCTTCAACTGTCCTTTTGCAAATCTTGTCGTATCCCAGATCTGCTGCTAGTGCCAAGGGGTCTTTTGCTCATAGAAGTGTTTGTGGGAGACAGTGATGGATGCATGTAAGAACGTGGCAAGAGCCTAGTGTACGGGTTAGCTAAGGACGCATGCTAGGGACACGTCTGTCGAAATATACGTCATGACCCGATACTAGATTTGAATGAACCATTGCGTGCCCATATCATGGCTAAACCTTATAATCTTCTACCACCTTTAGAATTAGAATAATGCTAGCATATATACGACAGTATCTTATTTAATGAATTAATTTGATAGTTTTTATAGCCTGATGCATTAAATAACAAACTGACACATGTATGTCACTTATAACGATTATCGATAATCCTCACTATAAATAACGTTACTCTTAGAATTATATCAATGAAAAGCACGTATAATGACTACTGATAGTTCTCACTGTAAATAACATTACTCTTAGAATTATATCAATGAAAAGCATGGCTCTTCAATAATTAGACAATCTAATTTTTCAAAGATTTTCTATGACAGCCTTATAATAAGCGATAGATGGAAAAAATACAAGTATATATTGCCTATCCAAATGTAGGAAAAATATTGTATTTTGAAAGCTAAAAAAATCTACTTCTCTTGTAGTTGTAGTTATTGAATGTGTCTAATACATTTAACTGCATATTCATTATAAACATAGAACGCAAGTCTTTAAAATTTGCATGCCACGAACTGCAATATGTAGAATGCATGGAAGATGTTCTCAAACTCCATGCATTCAATAATTTTAACTCATTTGTGTTGAAGATGTGCTATGACTTCACTAGTTTTAACTCCATTTTCAAATATATTGGTAACAATAGCTCAAGTAATAAGAACTTCTGTTTGTTCGAGAAATAAAAATCATTGAACAAACTTTACTCTCAAACTTGGTGCNCAAAATTTACAAAAAATTTGATTTTAATCTCCACCAAATAGGCGTAAAATCACAATAAATATGAATTTTGATAACATGCTAATTTTAAAAAAATTTCGACGATCGTATGCTGATTGAATCTACAAATTGTTTATGTCATCTCAAAGTTTATTTAGAGAACTACATTATGGGCATATCGAATAATACAAACAAATATAAAAAATAGTTAAAAATACGTTAGACGTGAGTTTTAAAGAAAGACGGCTAACTCATATTAAAAAAAAATATCAATTATTTCATTAACATTTATTATTTTTGCGATACAAATTTCTCTATTTAATTTTCATCATTTTATCATGAAATTTTATATGGACATGACATCAAAAAATTTTGAAATTTTACATCCAAAAAATTCATATCCCATGTAAATTTTCGAATGCAAAATTACATAGGGTATGCTTCTTTTGGATGTAAATTTTTTATTGTAAAATTTCTCTCAATTTCTTTTCAAGTTCGGTTGTGCCTCATAATTTTAAACTTCTGCATCCGCCCCTGCTCTTAACCAAATTATATAGAATTTATAATCAAGTGTAATGGAGATCTTATTCATTTTATGCCTCTCTTAGAGGTGATCCTAAAATGTGAGACCTTGTCCTGGCCGACATGGATTATAAGTATTTATAGCTTACACTAATGATAAGTGATACAACAAATTAATAAGATGATCTTTACTTGACGAACCATCAAAAATAAGTTTCAAGAAATCTCAATCGCTTTCATTCTTGTTTTATAATAATTGCATTTAATAAACTACAGATTTGAATACTTTACTTCTTAAATTATTCAAATTATATTGAACTTGATTGGTAAGTGACATAAAAAATATTTAAATAAAAGGTGAGTAGATATCAAGAAATGTTTATTTAAAAAAAAAAAAAAAAAGCAAAATGAAGAGTCATAATATAGATCATTATTGAAGTTAAAAAAAAAAAAAATACTCTTCTAATTTAAATATGCTCTCTATGATATGTAAAATGCTCTTTATAAATTAGTATTCTCTTAGGTATGCGGTAACATTCTATACTAACAATTAATTTACCGCTCGTTTGGTAAAGATTAAAATCGGATTAAAATTAAAAAACTAGCCGTTATTGTTGACTTTTATTAGACGAGTGTGGCCCAATAACGGCTATATTTTCAATTTTAATTGGATTTTAATCGGTACCAAACGGGGTCTTAATTAGCTACTAGACGCTTTGAGATAAACTTCAACTAGGTGGCATCATTATCCTTAACAGGCCCCAAATACATAGCTCTCATTGGAGATCCGATCTTGGGCAGCAATTAAACAAATTTAGCAGGCAAGAGAGGCTTGGTAAGAGAGTCCGCGAGCTAGCTAATCATACGAGGAAATGAAGACACGAAGAAAGAGTCATTTGTAACATGACTCCGGACAAACCGGTAGTAAATGGCAATGTGCTTCATCCGAGTATGATAAACTGGATCAAATGTAAGATAAGTAGTGTCAATATTATGCTTTGTTTAGAATTGTCTACGAGTCGCTTAAATCGTGCATTGATAGTGGAGTAGTTAATAAGTGGAGAGTAACTGTATGTTTCAAGAATTGTGCAGTTAAAATTAAATTTTGATCAATTTAAGGAAATTCCGAACTTGCACATTGTCACAAAATTACTAGTCGATGCTGAAATCAGTGTTCGAAAAGGCGAGCAAAACGCGTCGAATTGGTGAAATGCGGGTAAAAATGCGTTTGTGTTCTAAAATTCGCCGCCTAGGCGGCGCATTGTCGCGCCTAGGTGGCACATTTTAGAACCTTTTTTTTTTGGTAAAAAATCTATTTTTTTATATAAAAATATATTTAATTCCTTAAAAATAATTAAAATAATATTAAAAATACGAAACGCATTATGACGTTTATTCTTCGCATTGACACGCCTAAACTTGTTATTCTTGATTTTNTAATGGTTACCAAACGGTGCCTATACGTGCTATCCTCCACGGCTTCCCTTGTCATGTAAGCATGATTGGCACACTTTTTGGTGCAATCCACATCTCCATTGGAGATGCTTAAGACATGACGTAACGTCATTAAGAAATTTTGATAGGCTACGAATTGTAAAGTGGAGTTGCTTGGGTGTAGAGACATTCTTTTTTTAGATCTTGTGAGTTACTTTTCACATTTTCATTGGACTAATTGTACGTCAAGGTTCTTTATCGACCTTTGTTTGCTGCAATCTTCCGCAATGAATATTTCCATTTGGATTTAAAAAAATGTACACAAGTCACAATATGATCAATTTTGCCAAGTTAATTGTTTAATGTCTCCACCAATTTTGCTGGTTACATTTTCATTGATTTCCATGGACTGCGAATTGATATTAGGGTCCGTTTGATTGCAACGAATTCCATGAAAAATGTCACATCAAAAAAAATCGAATTCCAATTTGGCCGTTTGATTGCAACGTAGAAATGGAACCGAATTTAAATGTATAATCACTGCATTTTCTTAGTTGTCATGAAAAACGAATCCATATGAATTTAGTGAGTATTTATTTTCCAATTAATAAGGAATTGAAATTCATTTCCATCTTTAATTGACTTGCATAAATATGTAAACTCCATCACTGGTTCCTATAAATACTAAAACTTTCCTTCCTCCATCAATGCTTCATTCTTTGCTATCTCAGAAAATACTATTTCTTTCATTATCAAATTATGGCTGAAAATACAGAAAAATCTCGGGACGCAACCATCTTCAGATTTCTTATATAGTCAATTCATTTGAAAAGAATAGTCTCTCTCAAGTCCAGATTCGAAATTATCGAGTGAGAAACGGGTGGCGATCAGTTTGGGAACTCAACGCCACGGCAGTTTGCATGTGCGCGACGTGTAAAGCCACAAATGACACAATTGTCACAACCTACCATTTTTTTATTGTTAAAATAAAAACCCACAAGTTACTCAAGTAGCCACCTCTTCTGCCTCTCCAAATTCTGGTTTTTCCTTATATTACTTTTTGTTGGTTGATCATACTTGTTATTCTCTCTGTACAATGGCGTCTTCTTGGACACGTTTTGCTATTGTTTTGCTTCTGCATGTCATCCTCTTGATGCAATTACTTCCAGTACACTCTGATGGTACTCTCTCTCTTTCTCTCTGTATACTTGAATATTTTCTGTTCTCTTTTGGTATTTCTGAAATTAATACTCCCATTTTCTAGCATTTTTTGAATTTACTGCTAAAGGGTAAAATTAGTGGGAAACTATACAAATTGATGTAATATGTGAATCCTTTTTATGAATATGATGAAAAAAAAAACAATGAAAAAGGATATTTATTATTAAGAAAACGATAAAATTATTTCCACAACTCAAGTAAGAGAGAGTCTCCATGTAAATTGTCAAAATAGTTTAATCCAATAAAACTAATTCATGTAGTTCTTCTTCTTACAGTTCTATTGTTCCAAGAAATTTGATACCTTTGCTGCCTACATTGGTGGTTCTTGTAATGTGGGCATCCAGATTCACATATATAAAACTAAACTTTAGATTCTTTCTCCGTCCTTGCGATATGCGGTGGTTTCGATCGCGCTGGGCAGGGATGTTTGTAGAAATGTTTTGGATGATGAATTTGGGAAAATATAAGCATGAAAGCTAAGCATAGTGTAAGTTGCATGGTTTTATACTCAGTTTCCATGCATTCAATCCTGCAGACGCAGATGATCATCTACTTCAAGGAATCAATAGCTTCAGGCAATCTGCAAATGTTCCACCCCTCGCAAAGCACGATAATGCTAATTGTGTAGCCGAAGAAATTGCTGATGAACTGGAAGACCAGCCTTGTGCTTCCAACACTGCATCAAATACGCAACTAGGCAACTACCAGAGTCTTATGAAGAAATGTAACATAGACATCAATACCACAACCGACGGGGTAATACTGCCCGTGTGTGTCCACGATCGGGTTGCGCCTCTTGTGCTCACCAATTACACTCTGTCTCAGAATTCAAGATATCTGAACAATTCCAGGTACACAGGAGTAGGCATGGGACATGAAGATGATTGGACGGTCTTAGTTTTAACCACGAACACACCAGGAGGAAGTTTTGCAAATAAAGCTTGTTTGCTAAATATCATTACTTCGAGTCACTTGGTATCGCTGTTTTTGGGCGTGTTTTTGGCATTCGTCGGTTAAAAGCCTTGATGTTCTTGTATATGTAAAGTGTGTTTCCTAATGTATTTTGCTTTAGTGCAGTTTGTTTTTCATGATAATGAACAGCAAAACTGCAGTATCCACGTTAATGAAGTGTTTGTATTATCTATTAATGAAGTGTTTGTCTCTTTTGTTGGCAAATATCTATTAATTGGTTCTGCAGTATCCACGTTGCAATGGGGCAATGACAGAGATAGCAATTTGGGAGGAGACAGACAGAAGAAATTCTTCGGTGATGTCTTCAATCGTCCACATGCTTATATTTCAGAATTTCTTACCTGAAAGCGTGACATGTATCTTCCTTCAGGGGGAGGTGGTATGCTGAGCCTCTTTAAATCATCCCGTGGAATTTGTCTTCTGATCTTGTAACAAATAATTTATGGAAGTTCAGAATGCATCCTGTTCGAGTCTTAACATAGATTGCTTCTTGGTGTTAACACAGGTAGTTAGCATCTAATTCGCCACGTATCTCAAGCCTTGGGGGGCTGTCATTTTGACTCGCACATATTGCTTGGGGCTTCAATCCAAGACTTCTTATGAGAACAACAGTACCCAAGGCATTTGAAAGACCAGTGAAATAGCTGCTAAAACTTCTCTTTTTCCCCTAAAAAACTAGTTGATGTGTATATACAAATCTAGAACATGAAGATTAAACCGAATACTTGTTAATATAATAAATAATTTTGGAACAAGGAAAGTTGAACATACAGCGGAGCTCGAAATGGTCTTTCTCGTCCTCCAAACTGAAGTTGTCCTTTTCTTTCTTGCCGCCAAAACCACCACCTGTCAAACGTGATGACTTTAGAGCTCTCATCTGAGTATAAAATATAGCTGTATGAGCAGGAGAGGTTTGACATACCTAGCTTTCTTGGAATTCAACCAGACATCAGTTGCTGCCTATCGTAATCAACTATAATCTCAGAATCATCAAGGACAGTATGATGAGCATCCTACAAAAATGTATAAATTAATGGGGCATCAATAAAGTTTCCACGGCAGATACAGTGGTTAACAGTTTCTTGCTGACATGACTATTAGAAAAACAACACACGATAAAACCACTTTCTCGATCAAGTCCATTCATTTTAGTTTTACTTTCAGTCATCGCTAGAAATCATTAACAGAAAGTAACGTATCAATTTTTATGTACTTCTGATAAGTAAACTGGTAAGTTAAAAATTTTAGGTGTGTATAGCTTCTAAAGGGTGGAAAATGCCGCAGGAAAAGAAAGCTGTATGGATGATATTTCATAAATTGAAGCACAGGCAGGAAATTATTACCAGACAAAACATGACATGATGACGGGAATCACCTGTCAGGAGGAGGGGATGGAAAAGGAAAGCTATGAAGAGATTGGAGAGTTAATGGTATATAAATGGGAAAAGTGAGAGGCAGGAGAAGCAATGAGACTTGAGCTGGAATCTGAGGCAACTTCAACCAGTATGGGAGGTCAGGAAATCTCATTTAAAAGTTAAATCAAATACTTGGCAGAATCAGAGGAAAATGCTTATGCAACTGATGGTCAACAAGTTCGAAAGACTATGCCCCAATTGTTTGAGAAGATGATGAGAGAGTAAAGGTCTTTCAAGGAAATGATAGCAGAAGTGTTACTTATTCTTTATCGTTAAATGAAAACTAATATATAAATTCAATTATTCAAAGAAATGGGGGAAGCAGCTACATAGAAGAGTAATACAAATCAGTTCCTATTTGTTTAAATCAGCTAAAACCTCCATGATCAATGAATATTAGGGGATTGTTCCTTTACCCACCCACCCCGACAGCATGAATCACCTTGAGCTCGTAAAGAATAGAACTTGTTCCACATTTTCACCAATATTGAAATTCCAGATTGAAGAAGTAGGAATCTGCTTGAAGATCCACACTAACTGCAGTCACTGAAACAAGCTTGTGTCTACAAAATAGTAACTTGTGTGGTCAATCGTCAACAAGGTGGCTGATAGAGAGCAGACCACACTCGATTCTTAAGTGATTTTGTTTAATGAAACAATAATCAATCTTTCAGTGTAAATTTAATGTTTTCATTCCGTAAGTGGGTATTCATGGTATTACTCATAGTGAGGTTACTAGTATAGGTAGGTATCAATGAAATAGAAAACTATCAACCTGTGAATCACTGGAAGGTTCTGTTAACTTAGGACAGATGTAGCGCTGAGCTTCCATGTAGTTAACACTGAAGTCATGTTATAAAACTGTGTGTACCCTGCAAGAGTTGTAAACAAATCACTACCAACCTAATCTTCCCTTAGAATGTGTCTAGACATTTTTCCAAGAATGACACCATAGAATCATTCTTGCTTCGCCTTAGCATCAGCTTGCACAGGTAGTTCATTCTAAACATCCATGAGCCCGGCAGGTCTTGAATTGTATTTGTACTCTAGAGAGTCGATAAGTCTTCCTTTGACTCTCTTATTGGTTTTTGTTCTTGTCAAGTCAGAATAGGTGGGTCCCATTTAGCCATGTGGCTGGTTATTTTTGACAAGGTACAAAACCCATTTAATTTCTAGGAACTCAGATAGAGGCAAGGTCTAACAAGTTGGAAATTCAGATAGGAACGGATGAGATTAAGACATGTTTTGATGGCTACGATTGGATTAGATGATGATAAGTTATATAAAAGGTCAAAACTAAGATTTCCGAAATTCTCTCTCAGGCCTCTTTTCTCTCATCTCAGGGTTAACCTCCTTCCTCTTTGCTATCAATTGGTTGTAGAATTACTAATTTATTCAAGACACAACTTGTGTTTCCAACACCACCAGATCACTCCCTCCCAGGCCACAAGCATGTATTACAAATAGAGGGAACACCACATTCCCCGCTCAACCATCATGCACTGTGGTATTTCATCACCATAATTAGAAATTTCATCGTTGGAACAGGTCATGCCTGTTATTCCACAACATATTCACCCGTACCTTGGCCAATTTCTATCAAATCCTGTCCCATTACACTTGACTATTGCTTAATTTTTGTGTTCCTTCCTAGCGAGCGACCGTGGGTGGTAAGTTGGTAACCACATCAATTATCTCATAGCTCTAAGATCTTGCTTTGCTACAAGATTAAACATGGCCAAAAGAAAAAGGATACTTCGAGGAGGTCTGCAAATTCAGAGACAGAAATATGAGACAGCAGAGTGCTTTACAAATTTGTTGAAAACTTTCTCTAACCCAAGCAGCACATGTGCATATTATTTCAACAACTATATTTCCAAACACCATTGTGGTCAATCTCTAAACTTCGGTAAACTAATTCTTTCCTGTTACTCCCTGATCCCATCTCTGTTTCTAACATTTCTGAATAATATAGCATTTTATCCCTTTACTAAGGAGGAAAAAGACCAGTTAACATAGGAACATTAAAGCTCCGAATAGCAATATTAAAGCTCTGAACAAGTTCCAGAGCAGTTATAAACATCACATTTTGATGGCATTAACTAATATTATGTAGGAGTTAATTGCTCTGAGAATGAATCCAACTAGCCTTTCTTGCATAGTTGATCTACAGTACAATTAATTTAAATCTCCGTTTGACTAATTACAAATGATTTATAAATCATAAATGGTCAAACTTTATTTTCAACCACATTTCAATGGACCCACAAATACAATCAACCACTCATTTCTATTTATTTGTAAACTAAACCGCTTATAAATTCTTCCCTATTGATTGTTAGTTATTTCTTGATGTCAGCAGCAAAAAAATATTTTGTGAATGGAGGCAAAGCTTGATTGCCTATTTAATGCTTACAAAAGCAATGGGTTTATCGCCTTTCAATCATAAGCATCCGTAAACAGTCCAAAAATCAGAAATGGTACATTTCAAACAAGGGAACAAATTATTCAAGAAAATTGGTTCTTAGATTAAACTGAATACGACCAATTGTTGGACTAAAGTTCCTTCATATAATATATGGCAAATGGATATATAATTTAGAGTAAAAGCTAATAAATCAAGAAAATGTATGGAGGACTGATTGGCAGAATTAAAGTAAAATAAGAGAGCTGATAATATTTTAAAAATGCATCACCTTGTACGCTCGACGCATCTTCCTCTCTCTTTCAAATTCGACAAAGCCATAGCCACGTAAGGCACCCGTTACTGCATGGATTCCATGTTAAAGTCGTTTGGTGAGAAAAAAACAATGTTTCCCATCATTAGTATAAAATCAGAACAAATATTGTGAAGAAAACAGGATGTCGATGTCCTCTTTGCTTCTTACATAGACTCTAAGTCGTCTTTATTTCTTTTTTCTTTTTGTCTTTTCTGTTTGTGCTTTTTCCTTCTTCGCAGAGAAGATCTTTATCCCCTAACATATTGGTGAAGACAAAAATGTGAAATTTGATAATGCACATCGATGCTTTATAACATTGAAACTTAATCTATAAATCTTGGTAAAAAATAAGATCTTGACGACACAACCATATGAAAGTACCAAGCATTACAGCTAGGTTTGGTTATACGGGGCACACCTTATTCACGTGTTGAGAATTTACTGAACAAAAAGTTGAAGAAACTCGTCCTACTGAAGAGAAGAAACAAGTGATGATTCACTTTAGTATATTTTCTTTTATTCAGAATCGATCCCTTTTGAAGTTGGGCATTCTTGTTTGCATTTCCCTCTACCAGTTGTAGGCTTATAGCCCAAAAATTAAAAAAACGAATGGTAGCCAATAATGTGCTTAAAAACTTCTACACCATTACAAGAGGGAAACTATTCAGCCTCTCAGAATCTATATAGCAAGATTCTATTACAATTCTTGAACTGTTCATTTCAATCAGCAAAATTCCTTATCTGCAGTTAATGAACATTGGAAGCACAAATTTCCAAAATTTTGTAGTAAAACAATTTCTTTGCGCAGAATTACTAATACCTTTATTCAAGTTATTACAGAAGTCTCTCCATAAACCAATCCCTTCTCTAATAATTTTATGTTGCTCACGGAAATATCTTCTATAAAAAGCTTGTGAGTTTTAAAAACAAACACGGTAAAAATAAATATCATAAGAAAGAACAGGTTATTGCCCCTCTTATCCATTCCTTAACACAACCCAAACCATATGTCAAGTCTTGTCATTTTCTCTTGCACTTCATGAAGGCGGCCATGGTTAGAATTCATTTGAAGTAGATTTTGATTTCCTAAATTTCTTCCCAATTATTAAGGAAGAAACATATTTCAGTACTAGGCACCATTCACTCTCAAGCCTCAACACTGAGAAAAGTAGAAAGTGTTCTAGGATTGCCTTCTAAGGAAATCAATTAAAAATACAGGAGGAAAAAATTTGAAGGAATCACCTATATGTCTGACCAAACGCAAGTTCTTGACCCTTCCATATTTGCTCATAGCCTGAAAAGACAAAGAAAAACAATATATTGATCCTAAATTGAACCATTATCATTCAAAGAAAAAAAATCAAAAATTTCGTAAAAGAACCCATAAGTTCAATTCAAATCGATAAATAAGAAAATTCAAGAAAAAAGGAACCTGGCGAAGAGTGTCTTCAGTGGTGAGGTGAGAAAGACTGCCCACAAAGAGAGTGCAACCGATTACTTTTGGGTCGCCAAAAGGGTCGTCTACAAACAAAAACAATAAAAATACTTTTAACAAAAGAATTCGTTTCTAAAAAGGTGCAATAAAATTTGATATCAAAGGTAGAAATTACAGAGGCGCTGGAACAAAGAAGAGCCCTGTAAACGGCGTTATCATGAGGTAAAGTGTCGGTTCCATCGATGCTTCAGGCTTGGATCGGATGGTAAGTGTCAGCGTAGAACACAGAGTTCACGTTGCTACTGCTCAGAGACAGGGGCACAGTCAAACGACGGTTTGCCAACCGAAGTCGATCCATGCTGCTATATAAAATCAAGTTGCTCTAAAAATTATTACAATTCTACTACTCGTACCGTGTTGACATAATGAGGTGGGAAAAAAAATAGTATTGAAGACCCTACCCAATTTTCATACCCGTTTAACATCCATTATTTCTCCAATCTCAGAGAAGCCCTTAACAGAGGCGATGGAAGGCGAGCGACGGCAAATCGAAGGCAATCTACTCCATCATCTTTGCGTCCCATCTTCTCCAACTCCAACATAGAACTCAACGCCTTCGACAGAATCCACCAATTTACATTTGTCAGGTTATCCACTAGTCACTGCGTTCGATCCTTTTTTTCCTCCTTCGAAGCCGCAACCACCATCTTCGATCGGCAGCTAAAATTAGGTGAGCATGATATGTGGTTAACACAAATTTGTATTTACATATAGTTCCGACCAAATTTGTGTATTTATTAATTTTCAATTACAACCCAATATCTAAGATTCTGCGTACACAAATGCGTATGATTTTGAAGGTGGAACCACAATTTGAGTCGTTCTTCAGATTTCGTGTGTGTTTGAATTTGATGTTAGCGCCCGAATCTTTTTTTCCTTTGTTGTACGGAGTGTGTAACGAAGTTTCAAATGTAAAAAATGTGCAAGCTTGAATACTGTATGAAGTTATAGAAGTGTTCAACATTGTTGTGTCTAATGAATTGAGAAGGTGGGTAGCAGTGTACCCAATGTTTGAGTGTTTGGATTCTGATTGACTTCACCCAATGTGAAAGAACTGGACTGAATGTGTTTATCGCAGCTTACAATGGCAGGACAGAACGATGAAGTCTGCCATGGATGTAGACGAAGTGGTTACTTCTTCGCGGATTGCCAAATAAGGTCCCTTGCCCGTGGTTTAATGTTGCATAAGTGAAGTGTTATGCGGTGGTGAAGAACACTAACAACAAAGGTAAATTGTTCCGGTGTTGCAGCAAAAAATGCGGATTTTGGAAATTTTAAAATTTGCAATTAAAATTAATTATTAATTTTATTTTAAATTTTAATTTTAATCCCTAACTATATATATGTGTTAATGGCACAATATTCTTCTAAATAGTTAAAAATTCTTAATTCTAATTCAATCGAATATATTTTTCATTTGAAAATTATCAATTGTCTCACATGAAATTTTTTTAAACGAACAACTAACAAGTAAGGTATGAAATATCAAATATAGTGTCAAGTCTATTGAGCTCAAACAAATAATTCTACCCAAATAAGATTAAAAACAATCATATAGAATTTCAAGATTGATCTGCTCATATGCGACCATTTTGTGGTACATGTTAAGTGATAAATCTAGTATCAAAAAATATAAAATAAATAACCATTATATAAAGTATTGGATTACTCTTCTTAAAACGTCGATCATATCAGATGAAACATTAAGACATAATACCAATGAATTTCCTATAAATCTCCAATAAATATTGAACATATTAGATGCAAGGAACATGAGAAGACCAACATCAAGAAAAAGTTAAATCAATGAAAATCTGGAATAGTGAAAATTTGGAGTGAAATTCATCATCCCCAGTTATACGTAGTCATTTTTTCCCCCATATGAAATCTTCTTCACTCAACAAAGCTCAAAGACTCGAAATTTGTTTGTACGAAATAAAGAAATCCATCCATCAAACAATTCGTCCTTGCAAAATGGGCAATATATGGAGCAATTTCAAATTTCAAAAGTTCCAACACAAGGAATCATCAGCGACATCTTACTAAGCGCCAACGATATAAAAGCATGTCGTCGAATGATATCAACATCAAGGTTAAGTAAGGATACCCCAAGCATAGAAACAAGAACTTGCAATTTTCATCGATCAATTTTCAATTCATCACCCAATGTGTATTAATGTCCTCTTAAAAATTCGGATGAGGAGCAATGAATTGTCCATGAGATATTGTCGGATGAAGATCTCATAGTGATTGCATTGTCACAAGATACCATGAAGAGGAAGTCAAAGAAAATCTAACAAAGATAAATTAGGTATTCTTCGTTCCTGTATTTCTCTTCTTGATCTTCAAAATCACGCACGTGTTGTAGCTTATAAGGTTCTCCGAAATATACAGTTTGCCGTTAGGACAATCGAAAAGAAACACGTTGCTTTAGATAGATGGTTCTCCAAAAAATGTTACTCTGTTAATTAATTTTTTATATTAATTACTATATAGTTAAAATATTAAAATATTCCTATAGAACATGGTTGGTTCGTGAAATTTGTTCAATGTCTAAGGTTATTCATTTGTGGTGCAATGAATAAAAAATACCCACTCCTAAGTTTTATGTTATTATATCTTCTCCATAGTTTTTGTTTGCTACATTTATATTTTAATTGCAAGAAATGTCCTTAACCTTTTTCATTATTAAACTTCTTTTCCCAACTTTTTTCATTCGTTCTTATCATTAACCTTTAGTTAATTAACACGTCTTATCCTTGATGATGATTCCTATTCAAATATTCTATTAGTATACCTTGAAATGAAGAGCAAATATTGTCGCAATTTTATATTTGTTGTTTGTTTTTGTTTATTTAAAATCTTGAGAAAGCAAATAAATCTTCTTTTTTTTTTGTCGTCGTAAATGATTCTTTGTACGAAAATAGTTAATATAGATAAAATTTGTTAATTAATAAAAACTGATAATAAGAATACATCAAAATGGGTTGGAAAACATAACATAGATAATGAGCATAAATTGAAAACCTTGATTGCACAAAAATGTGGTGTGCATATAATTAATTACTACCAAGGTTTTTCCACCACGTGTCATTACAGAAATATTTGTGGGGAGTAAAAAATCCTATGCGAGCATTGACCCGCGTTTTAAAACTCTCTTTGATAAAAGAAAAAAAACCATTTATTTTTAGGACTTTGCTAAGTGTATATCGAGGTTGACATCCTGATATACAGACCTCCTCGTAAGAGGAGAGGTTCATGATTTTTTATTGGTCATTGGTTCCCTTCTTGTGAGGGATCCGTACATCGGGATTGACACGCCAGTATACAAATAGTAAAATCCTTGTTTTGAATTAATCACCGTGCTTCAAAAATTGTTTCTAATCAATCATTCTTTTAGTCAATGTTAGATAAATTAACTGAAATCCATGTACATTACACATGCTTCATTCTCTATCCTAGTTGCCACATCAACCCGATTTAGAAAATTGTCGTGCAATTTAGAGGTAAACGAAATTTTAATTCCGAAAGAAAAAAACCCACATCAAAAATCTAAATTCTTTATCGTAATCGAACGTATTAACCTAAAATAATTCCCTTTATAAAGTTTTCTCCTCCAACGATTCTCGACCAAATTGGGCACTCAATACTCGACTAGAGTTCGTAACAATGGATTAAAATATGGATTTCCCCATTTGAGCAAGAAGAAGGGAAACAGATTCAACCAACACCCAATAGCCACTTAATTCTTTGTTTGTTGAATTTTACCAAAATGAAAAACAAAGGATTTAAAAAATTTCTTTGACTGTGAGAGTTCAATGCCACTTAGCTAGTGACCAAATTGCAGCAAATTGAAAATTGAGTAGCAAAGTGTAATTAGGTTTAGCATATAGCATTTTGTTTTTAGTAAACAACTTGAAGAAGTTTTATTTGATAGCTCTGTCGATATTCTCATGCTTCGAGTATATTGTCCAATTCTATTTAATATTATGACTATATGTATCACCTTTCTCACCTGTCAATTTTACGTTAATTTTTTCAAAAAATATTTAGGATAAAATATTGTAAGAAAATTTTGCACTTTTTTAAAAATTGAAATATATGTTGGATCACCTCAATTAATTAAAAGTTTAAAATTAATATTAAAGAGAAACATGCTTATTCATTTAAATTAGTCTTCAACACACCATCATGCACATCATTGGATCATTTTTAACAAATCAAATATCTTACACATGTAAAATTGTATAAGTGTGACTGGGGACTCGAAACCTAAGAGTCTGTTCTCTTCGTTGTTTTCAGTCCATTTTCAGTTTTCAATTTTCGAAAATACTTGAAACACGTTTACTTACCTATTTTCAGAAATGAATTTCGAAAAACGAGTTTAAAATTTTAAAAAAAAAACGAAAAATACCAAAAAAGTCGTTTTTGCCGATTTCAGTTAAAATCAAGCAAAAACTTCATTTTTTTTTTTATTTTTAAAACCAAATTTTTAAAATGACAAAAAGAACACGTTTTCAAAAATCTTTAAATTGACACTCAAAATGAATTCAAAACTGAAACGCGAAGAGAACAGCCCCTAAATATTTAATTACTCTCATAACATGAAATAAATTAGATGAGAGAGAGAGGATTTTTTTTCTCATTCAGAAACAGTGCATTAATACAACATTTTGGATTCATCGAACTCCTATAACTTTGGACCTAATGGAAACGAATAATAAACTAATAAAAATACTAAAAACATCGTAACATACATCTAACATATACAATTGATGCAAATTACAATGATACTAAAAAAAAATATTCAAATAAAGTTTATAAGATTTATGAAAAGTGGAAGTTAATCCGAGTCACTGTGTAACATGTGAAATACAAAGGAAAAGAGAGACAAAATTATGGACCAAATTATAACTAATTAAAATACCAAAACCAAAACTATATATTTAAAAAAAAAAAAAAACTGTGCTTTAACATGGACGTGTATCATTTTCTTTATAATCACTACTATAAGAAATTTCACTTTTTAACGACGACATTTTTTGTCGTGAAAAGTCTTTCAAAAATTGTTGTCTTGAAAAGCTTCTCGATGAACCTTTTTGACAAAACAACCAAATAATGGCTTTTTACAACGAAAATATTTATCGTTAAAAGTGAAATTTTTTTATAGTGAATACTCTAGCGATTGTGTAAAGGATCAGGACTCGACGGTACCTCTCTGTTGATGGTTGCAACAAAACCTTCATAATCATTACCAGAACCTGAGACAGTTGTACTCCCAATACTAGGTTTTTCTTCATAGTTTCTTGGTTTTTCTTGTAGATGCCTAGCTCCCACTACTACTTGCTGTAAAGCCCAAAAACTCAGCAAAAATATTAAGACATACCCAACTTTACTCCGTTTCATCAACATCACTTGCACTTGTCACCAATGTATGTGTATTTTTTTGTGTAAATTAAAGAGAGAGAAGAGTGATTGTGTCTCTCTATATGTGTGTGTGAGAGAGAGAGAAAAAGAAAAGATGAAGAGCGGGTTTGTCTTGAAGACTTGAAAGTTAGATATGACAAACAAAGGAAATGCGACTTTGTATAGGCTGATTTACCACTTGGTTTACAGAATGCTAAGCTCACAAGATTTCACACCATTTGGACCAAAAAAAGAAGTTAAAATCAGCCAGTAAAATCTTGCCAACTCAACACATGTAACCCCATTTGTTAAAAAAGTCTATACAAGTAGCATTTTCCAACAAATAATTTCTTTCTTGGGGAGGGTTGGGGCGGTGCATGTAATTGAGTGAAGGGGTGATGAGTGTGAAACAAGGAATATAGATACTGTCATTTGAGTGTAAAAGATTGTGTAAAGAATTATGTACACATAACTTTATTCAAAAGAAAAAGTTAAACCAACCCATGAAATCTTGCCTGCTCAACACATGTAACCACGTCTGTTTAAAAAAATCTATACGAGTGGCATTTTCCAACAAGCAATTTCTTTCTTGGGGTGGGTTGCTGGGGCGGTGCATGTAATTGAGTGAAGGAGTGATGAGTGTGAAACAAGGAATATAGATACTGTCATTTGTCAATGCAAACACAACCCGGAAACCAAGACTTGAAGGTTTGTCTTCATTTAATATTTTATACATGAATGCGATTTTTTTTTTTTTTTTTAATATTTAACACTCTTCTTTCGTTCATTAAAAATATACTGAGTGTGTTTGGGATACATTCTTTCAATTATTGAATAGTAGATTGATGAAGAATGTAGTTAAAAATGAAAGAAAAGTTATTGATGTGATGGAAAATATTATTTTATTGAAGAATGTGTGGTTGAAAATGAGTAGAAGAATGAGAATGAAAAAAATAATGTGTACCAAACATGGTCTTAACATTTCTAAATGTGGTTAAAAATGAAGAAGAATTTATTGATGTGATGGAAAATATTATTTTATTGAAAAATGTGTGGTTGAAAATGAGTAGAAGAATGAGAATGAAAAAAATAATGTGTACCAAACATGGTCTTAACATTTCTAAAAATCATAACAAAGCCCTATTCTATGTATTGGTATCAAATAGTCGATCGTGTAAATAATCAGTGTCAAAAAAAAAAAAGGTAGCATTCGTGTGTACAAAATTGCTCACGCACGCGGACACTCACTTAAGTAAAGAGAGGGATCGAACAACTTTTTCAAATTGGCTATGCTCTAGGTCAATTGAGGTACACACTAGTTATTGAAACATATTGGAATTTTCAATAAATCAATTATTTCCGTAATTTTCACGAGGATTTCGTACAAACATATATTAATAGAATTAAATATTTCTCTGTCACCTCAACATAGCCCACAATTTCAGGATCTAAATTTGACTCTGCCTTGAGTTTAGTTCTCCTTTCGGCATCCTCTCTCCGTAAACTATAACACTAAGTCCATGATAATGCAGTTATCAAGGAAAAGTACTCCTAATTTATGAGACTTTTCTTTCTTTTTTCATTAATTAATTTATCAACTTATGAAATTAGGGTTTTGCCTTTTGAAAGAAGCAACACATTTTTCTTAAAAGGCATCTTTAGGATTGTTTTATTAGATAGTTTAGAAAGTTTTGTTTCTTCTATTGTTTGTTGTGGTGGCTTTCTTGGAAAAAGGGGAAGACTTGCATTTTGATAATACTTATTCAATTTTACCAACCCCAAAATATTTTCTTTTGTCTCTCTAGACCATAAATTCTTGTGATATTAGATTAGATGGGACATTACTATGGACAGTCATTGACTCGAGCGTCTTTTTTGGGTCTTGCCTAGTGCCCCAAGGACGATTTACAACTATGCAGTACAAATTACATACTTAAGTTAAATCTACCCTCGACAGCAGGTAACACAAACTCCAATGATGAGAAAGAAATTTGGGTGAAAAATGTTTAAAGGCAAAAGGAAAGGAAATCAAATATAAACACTAAAATCTATGATTTCAAACATTTCTCCAAAATCAATTGCAACTAGGGCTGTCCATGGGTCGGTTCGTTTCGGTTCTGAAGATACCCGAATCGACCCAAAACTTTCGGGTATTTAATAAATGGACCTGTCGGGTCCAAATATAATTATGGAACCGTTCGGGTTCGGTTC